GTGGGGGTGGGGGTGGGAACAAGTGGTCAGCCCCATTCAGGGGCATTTTCCTGGAGTCTCTCCATATGGTAGGCAGAATAATGGTTCCCCAAAGATACCCACACCCTAATCCAAAGGAACTCTGCAGATGTGATTAAGGTTATGAACCTTGAGATGGGGAGATTATCCTGGATCATTTGGACAGGCCCAATCTAATCACATGGGTCCTTTAAAGAGGAGAATCTTTCCCTGCTGATGTCAGTCAGGGTGACTGTGGAGGAAGGGTCAGAGAGATACAATGTTGGAGGCTCTAAAGATGGAGGAAGGGGGCATGAGCCAAGGGATGTAGGTGGCCTCTAGAAACCAGAAAAGACAAGGAAATAAATTCTCCCTTAGAGCCTCCAGAAAGGACTGCAGCCCAGCCAACACCTTAATTTTAGCCCAGTAAAAGCCATGTAGGACCGCTAACCTATAGAATTGTAAGATAATAAATTTGTGGGGTTTTGTGTGCTAATTTGTTACAGCATCAATAGAAAACAGATACACTCCCATGCAAATCCTTTGTTTCATACAGACTGTACTCCTGCTCAGACGTTTGACAAAGGAAACCTTTGAAATGACCCCAGCCCTAGCCAGTGTGTGACTGCAACTGCATGAGAAACCCTAAGCCAGAACCTCCTAGCTGAACCCATTCAAACTCCAGAATGAGCAAAGGTAACAGTAATTATGACAGTTGTTTTACGGTTTGGGATGTTTTGTTCCATCCCCCCAAAAAAGCACTGAATAAATACTAGTCCTAATTATTATTTCAAACCAGCATATCCTGGTCCACTAGGGTTTCATTTATTAATAATAGCAACTACCATTTGTTATTTACTTAGTATAAATCAGACATGGTGCATATACAATTTCTCCTTCACTCAATGCCCAGTACACAGGTATCATTATCCCTCTTGTTAATTAACCTCCAAAGGGTTAATCACTTACCTGAGATCACACCCACAGAGTGATGTGGCTGAGATTAAACCCCTGGCTCCTCTGACTCTCAGAGCCCATCATGAGGTGTACTCTAGTATGGTAACTGCCGCTTGAGTCCTTCCAAAGTGCTGCCAGTGGTGAGGCCTCTGCCCAGGCTGGTCACCAACAACTGTCTCCATTAATAACTCAGAGAACTGGGGGTCTTGCCATCCTCCACAGCATTCTCTCGGGCTGGGTTCTGCACTCTCAACACTATGTCCTGTCGATCATAATTCAGCATTTGAAGAGCACAGCAGCCCACAGGCCTCTAGACTCCTTGTCCAACTGTGTTTTCACCACAAGGGCTGTAAGGACAGTTGATTGCCATGTGAGATTCAGTAAGGATCCTATTAGCCAGTTGTTCTTAACTTGATCCCTCAGGTAATTAATTTCTGATAAATCAACCTCTTGGCATGCTCCTGAGGTAGACGTTATTGCTGCCCTGCACAGAATGACAGTTTTGTGGCCAGACTGCTGGGATTCAATTCCCAACTCTGTCATTTCCTAGTTGAGTGTTGTTGGGCAAGTCACTTAATCTCTCCCAGACTCAGCATTCTCATCAGTAGAATGGGAGTAATTAATACCATTGACCACAAGGGGTACTTGTGAGGATTTAAGGACGTAACCAATACCTTATGTATAAGATGTTTGGCATAGTGCCTGGCTCACAGAACTCAAGAAATTGTTGATAGCTAGCTATCATTGCTATTTTACTTCCCNATAACCAATACCTTATGTATAAGATGTTTGGCATAGTGCCTGGCTCACAGTTAGAACTCAAGAAATTGTTGATAGCTAGCTATCATTGCTATTTTACTTCCCTATTGATATAGAGAAAACACCTCAGCCTACCTCTAAATGTCTTCCTTAACTTTTCCTCCTTTTCTCAGGCAGGAGCCAGAGCTTGGGATTTCCTAGGATGATGCTCAGGACATGTAGCCAGGTAGGAGCCTCTTCCTTTCCTCCCTGTCTCCCCCTTCTCCTGAGAGCACACTTGTTATTATCAATAACAGCAATGACAGCACACTTAATGGGTGCTGATTATGTAGCTGCCAGACCATGTTGAGGTTTTATATATGTCTCGTTAACTCAAATTCTCACAACAAATCATACAAGTTAGGTATTTTTACTCATTGATTCATTTTTTTTTCCATTTAACAAATACTTATTGTATTCTTTCAGTGTTCTAGCTACTTGGAAGACATTAAAAAATAAAACAGACAGCCCTAGCCAGCTAGCTCAGTGGTTAGAGAGTTGGCCTGCGCACCAGAGGGTCGCGGGTTTGATTCTGGTCAAGGGCACGTACCTGGGTTGCAGTTCATTCCCTGGCCCCAGTCTGGGCGCGTGCAGCAGGCAACCAATTGATGTGTCTCTCACATCCATGTTTCTCTCTCTCTCTCCCCACCCCCTTCCACTGTCTCTGAAAAGCAATGGAAAAAATGTCCTTGAATGAGGATTTTTAAANACCTTCCCTGTCTCTGAAAAGCAATGGAAAAAATGTCCTTGAATGAGGATTTTTAAAAAATTAATGGAAAAATCATCCTCAGGCAAGGATTAACCAAAAAAAATTTTTTTTTTAATAAAATAAAATAGAAACCCCTGCTCACATTCTGGAGTGCAGGGACAATTGCAATTAAACAAATAGCTGACAAATATAGTATGTCAGAGAGTGGTAAGTGCAGTGTAGAAAAAGGTGAGAGGTGGGGAGAGGAATAGAAACAAATTGCTCCTCTAAACAAGGTAGTCAAGGAAAGTCCTGAGATGGTGAGGGAGTGAGATGTGGGGAGACCTGGGACCACAGTTCATACAAGGGGAACAGCAAGAAGTATAAAGGCCCCAAGGCAGGAACATGCAGGGATGTTTTAAGAACTCAGGGAGCCAGTGTGGCTGGAGTGGAGAGTAACTGAGTATCAGGAGAGTCACAGAAGAAGTGGACAGAGAGGGAAGGAAGGAAGGAGCAGAGCAGGTCACTGAGTTCCAGGTCACTGCAAGGCCATTGGTTTTCACTTCTAATGAAATGGGGAACCAGGCAAGTTTTGAGCAGAGAAGTGGCATGTTCTAACTTAAATTACAAAAGGATCCTTCTGGCTCCTGTGCTGAGAAGAAATCCTAGAAGGGCAAGGGTGGAAACAGGGCACCAGTGGGAAGGCTGTTGTAATTAACAGTCCAGGCAAAAGACGATAGTGGTTCAGTCCAGGAAGAAGCAGTGGAGGTAGGAGAAACTGCCAGATTCTGGATGTTGGAAATATATCCAACAGGATTATATGACTGGTCAGATTTGGGTGTGAAAAAACAAAAAAAGGGTGAGGATTAACAAAAAAAAATCAAAATAAATAAATGGTACAACTGAGCCCTGGACACCCAGCTCAGTTGGTTAGAGCACTATCTGGATATGCCAAGGTTGCAGATTCAATCCCTGGTCAGGGCACATACAAGAAGCAACCATATACTCAGAAAACTACAGGACTCTGAGAAAAGAAATAGAGGAAGATATAAACAAATGGAAAAATATACCATGTTCATGGATTGGAAGAATTAACATCATTAAAATGTCCACACTACCAAAGCAATCTATAAATTTAATGCAAGCCCTATTAAAATACCACCAGCATATTTCACAGATTTAGAACAAACACTTCAAAAATTTATATGGAACCAAAAAACACCCTGAATAGCCACGACAATCTTGAGAAAGAAGAACAAAGTTGGAGGGATCACAATACCAGATATCAAGTTATACTACAAAACCACTATAATTAAAATAGCCTGGTACTGGCACAAGAACAGACATAAAGATCAGTGGAACAGAACAGAGAACCCAGAAATTGACTCAACCATTATGGTCAATTAATATTTGACAAAGGAGGCAAGAACATACAATGGAGTAAAGATAGCCTTTTCAATAAATGGTGTTGGGAAAGTTGGACAGGTACATGCAAAAAAGTGAAACTAGACCGCCAACTTACACCATACACACAAGTAAATTCAAAATGGATAAAAGACTTAAATGTAAGACATGAAACCATAAAAATCCTAGAGGAAAACATAGGCAGCAAAATCTCAGACATCTCTCATAGCAATATGTTTGCTGATACATCTCCTAGGGCAAGAGAAACTAAGGAGAAATAAACAAATGGGACTGCATCAAAATAAAAAGCTTCTGCACAGCAAAAGAAACCATCAANAAGGAGAAATAAACAAATGGGACTGCATCAAAATAAAAAGCTTCTGCACAGCATAAGACACCATCAACAAAATGAAAAGGGAGCCCACTGTATGGGAGAACATATTTGCCAATGACACATCTGATAAAGGGTTAATATCCAAAATATATAAGGAACTCAGACAACTTAACAAAAGAAAGACAAACAATCCAATTAAAAAATAGGCAAAGGACCTAAATAGACACTTCTCCAAAGAGGACATACAAATGGCTGAGAGACATATGAAAAAATGCTCAATGTCCCTAATTATCAGAGAGTTGCAAATTAAAACCACAATGAGGTATCACTTCACACCTGTCAGAATGGCTCCATCAACAAATCAAACAACAAGTGCTGGCAAGGGTGTGGAGAAGGGGGAGCCCTAGTACACTGCTGGTGGGAAGGCAGACTTGTGCAGCCACTATGGAAAACAGTATGGAGTTTCCTCAAAAGATTAAAAATGGAACTGCCTTTCCACCCAGTGATCCTACTTCTAGGAATATATCCTAAGGAACCCAAAACCCATTCACAAAGAACTTATGCACCCCTATGCTTATAGCAGTGTTATTTACAATAGCTAAGATCTGGAAACAGCCCAACTGCCCATCAGTAGATAAGTGGATAAAAAAGCTGTGGCGCATTACACCATGGAATACTATGCAGCTGTAAAGAGGAAGATCTTTTATCCTTTGGCACATCATGGAGGGAACTAGAAAGTATTATACTAAATGAAATAAGCCAGTCAGAGAAAGACAAGTACCACATGATCTCACTTATATGTGGAATATAATAAACAAAATAAACTGATTAACAAAGTGGATCCAGAGACATAGAAGCATGGAACAGACTGAGAGATCTCAGAAGGAAGGCGGGGAGGGGGGTGTGGGTGGGGAGAGACTAATCAAAGAACTTATATGTTTATATGCATAATCCATGGACACAGACATTGGTATGGGGAAAGCCTGGGGGTGGGATGGATGTGGGGTGGAGGGGATCAATGGGGATAAGAAGGGAACATCTGTGATATTCTCAACAATAAAGATAAAGAAACTTAAAAAAAAATAAGTGGAACAACAAATTGATGTTTCTCTCTCTAAAATCAATCAACCAAAAATTTTTAACATAGGGGTAAATCTTCATGACTTTGGGTTAGGTAATACTTTCCTAGATATGACATCAAAAGTACAGGTAACAAAAGAAAAAATAGATAAATTGGACTTTATCAAGATTAAAAACATTTGTGCTGCAAACAATGCAATCAAGAAAATGAAAAAAATAATCCACAGGATGGGGAAAATAAATTTGCAGACCATTTATCATATATCTGAAAAGGGACTTGTATCATCAAAATTAAAAACCTTTGCTCTAAGAAAAAGAGAAAGAGAAAGAAAAGACAATACACAGACTGGCCATAAATCTGAATGAAAAGCAGAACAGATAAAGAACTCTCAAAACACACCAATAAGCAAATAACCTAATTTAAAAATAGCAAAAATTTTGAACAGACACCTCACTAAAGAAGGTATATGGATGGCAAATAACCACATGAAAAGATGCTCAGCATTAGTCATTAGGGAAATGCAAATTAAAACAATAATGAGATGCCAATATGCACCCATAAGAGCAAATAAGTTAAAAAGACTGACCATTCTAAGTGTTGACAAGGATGTGCAGAACTGGAACTCATATACTTCTGGTGCAAAAAGTAAAATTGTACCACTTTGGAATACTATTTGTTAATTTCCTAAAATGTTAAACAGACATTTACTATATGATCCAGCCATTCTACTCCCAGGTGTTTACCCAAGGGAAATGAAAGCATATGTCCATAGAAAGACTTGTACATGCATGTTTTGTTTGTAATAACTGCCTTCCCCTCATCCCTAATCTCTGGCAACCACTATTCTGTTCTCCGTGTCTAAAATTTTGTCATTTAAAAAATGTTGTATTAGTAGAAGCAATACGAATTGATTCCTTTGGGATTGGCTTTTTTTTTTTCACTAAACATAAAATTTCCTAGAGATTCAGTCAAGTTGTGGCATGTATAAATAGTTCATTTCTTTTTATTGCTGAGTTATATTCCTTGGTATATATTCATACTGTAATATACTTTTATGGGTCATTTTTAAATACAAAAATTACTATCATTATCTGCTGCTTGCAAAGGGTACCAATAATTTAATTTGCAGTTGTTGGGTGGCATGTTCTCTAAATATTCTTATGGTGTATAATACATATAATATACAAATATGTGTTAACTGACTGTTTATGTTCTCAGTGAGACTCCTGGTCAACAGTAAAGTTTTAGAGAGTCAAGTTATACACAGCCCTGGAGAGCATTGCTCAGTGGTTAGAGCATTGGCCCGTACACCAAAGGGATTCGATTCCCAGTCAAGGGCTCTCACCTGGGTTGCAGGTTCGATCTCTGGCCCCAGTCAGGGTGAATGTGGGTGGAAGCCAATCGATGTGTCTGTTGCACCAATGTCTCTCTCTCTCTCTCTCCCTCTCCCCCTCCCTCCCTTCTTCTCCTTCCCTCCTCCTCCCTCCATTCCACTCTCTCTAAAAAATCAATGGAAAAAATAATCCTTGGGTGAAGATTTAACAACAACAACAAAATTATACACAGATTTTCAACTGTGTTGCGTTCAGTTCCCCTAACCTCTGCGTTGTTCAAGGGTCAACCGTTGTTTATTATCTTGCTATTTAAAATTTTTACTTATTGATTGATTTTTAGAGAGAGAGAGAGGGAGGGAGAGAGAGAAACATCGATTTGTTGTTCTACTTAATTATGCATTCATTGGTTGATTGTTGTATGTGCCCTGACCAGAGATTAAACTTGAAACCTTNCTTAATTACGCATTCATTGGTTGATTGTTGTATGTGCCCTGACCAGAGATTAAACTTGAAACCTTGGGGTGCTGA